AGTAACGCCGTTTGACCCACACACAGGTAGATTGTTCTGGTCTGTGCATGAGCAGGAGTCGGTGGTGTTGCTTATGTTCCTGGAGTACCAAGAAAGGGGGGGGGGTGGGAGGGGGAGAGGAGAAATAAGTGAGTGATGTAATGGCACATTGAAATTGTCACAGACGGCCACACATTGTCAAATAGAAGAACTGGTTGTCTTAGACAGATGATAGCTTGTACAGTGTCCCTATAATAATATTAATTGAAAAATAAATTGACCTAGGGAAGCTGGAAGCTGGTGTCTCAAGAATGTCGGGGAGAGACAGCAATCAATGTTGACCAGGGAGGAATATCCAATCAGCTGATAACTGGAACGATCAGCAAAAGAACCCTTTCATGGGGCCTGGAGAGAAGGGAGAAGCAACTGTGGCATTGTACCATCTACGATGATGTCAATTCTCCAACAAGTAGCCAAGTAATAGAAAAAATGAATGTCAGCCCAGTCGAAATGTCTAAGATGATCACTCATTATCAGGGATAAAACTGGTTGTCTTTGACAGGCTGATGTTTTGAATACTGAGACAGCGTAGTGAAATCAGGCGCTCATCAAGACAAAGAAATCGAAGAAACCGGCATTTTTCTTGCTGTCGGACAATTTTTTCCTATTTTTATCTGTTAGCTCAACAACTTTCATGTCCTTTTAAAACCCCATTTCTTTGTGTATGTTACGAAATGTGTTTATTAAATGTACGGAAAATGTAACTTTCCTGCTTCCCAGGACACTGAAGCTTTGGGAGTCACCAAACTTTGGCGTCCATTTTCTCGCTAATTTTAACTCTCACACCAGCCGATCCCCACCTCCTTCAATAACAAATAAATCGACTGACATTCACGGTAGACGGGTGTTTTTTTGCTAAATTAATTACAAATGCACAGGCTTTAGGGTGATATTAATAACTCTATATGTCCCAAAATTGACGAGTGCCTGATTCCACCGCGTGGTGACACTTTCACCATCGTTTGACTCACATGTCGGTGAGACCGTAGATGACCTGGTCGTCGCAGGACAGCCAAAACATGAGCAGGTCCAGGCCACAGGTGCTGAAAACCAACACCGCCGTGAGCTTGGCCATACCGGTACGGGACAGGTTGAAACGGGACGAGATGAAACCACCCAGAAAAGTGCCCAGGAAGCTTGTAGTCAGCTGACAGATTCCTAAGAATAAAAAGGGGGTGATTTTAAGGTACACGTAAAGAACAGTATACCCCCCCCCCCTGCCCCGTCTCCCATCTCACATTTGAAAATGCTCGACCTAGTGCGCAACATTCGGGATCACCTTGGAGGTCAGAAGAATAGGCGTAAAACTATGTGTAATACCCAATGCACAATGCCAACTGGATCCATCAGTTGAGCTAAGGCCAATCAGAACTCCCATCATAGATGGAGAAAAAGATACGATTTCGACATATACTGCCGAATTTAAATATATACTTGCAGAATAAAATCTAAATTATGAAACTCTACACTTGTATCCCTTGACCCATCATAACATGAAATTAAATGAGAGCTCTTTCTAATTTAGAATTATCTGTTCACAAACAACCCAGAAGATATCGTTGCACATTCATCCCTCTCTGGAATACATGACTTCATTTCTTGGCGTTAACCATTGCGTCATTTTCGCTAACTGCTATTGATGTAAAAACATGTTTCAATTAATTCATTGAGGGTGCACATTCTGGTAATTCAACAAGGCTTGCAGACGAGAAGTTTTGAGGCACTTAAAAAGTAATAATAATAATAATAATAATAATAATAATAATAATAATAATAATAATAATAAAAACCTTTAAGAAATAGCTAAAGCTTTAAAAGACGGGAACCATCATGTATACCATGAAACTATGTAATTTAGAGTTTTTGATTTTTGTATGATGATTCGTTATTTGCCGCAACATCATTACCTTTGGACTGCTGCTGCTGATTGAACATTATTGTGCCCACTTCGTCCTTAGACTTAACCCCGGAATATGATATGTGCAGAATGCGTTGCAGGGAGTACAAGAGTTAAAAGTCACGTGAGTGGACTTACCCAAAGTGAAACTGATGTCCGCGGATGTCTTATTAAACTGCACTTCCATGTACTTTTGCTCGAAGGTCGAGTACCCTGTGCCGCCAAATCTGGCAATCACAACCTCCATTGTCAGAAGCAGGACAATGGGGTTTTTCACCACACGCCACATTGACTTCGGCATCTCTGGGGAAGGAAAATAAAAACATCGTATACACGACACATGAATTCAGAGAACATACTCACAAATTGAGGCCCATTTCTATGAGACTGACGCAATGTGTTTAGTAGAAAAAGGTGTGTATGACAGTTTTCAATAGTGTATTACGGACACCATTATCATTACGTGTAACTATCACAAACTGAGGACTATTATAGCCTATATTATTATTATTTGTCATTGATATAAATACACAAAATTAATATATGCATGAACACTGTCTAGAGATAATAATTATTAAAACACAAAAAACCCGAAATCAATGGACATAGTAAAGTAAAGTAAAGTTGCTCCCGGATCCGATCCGGACATTGGGGATTGCTTTGTTAGTGAGACAACTTCCTGGGCCTTCAGTATTATGTTGTAGGGTGGCCAGTTCCTTTCCACGTCGCCATTACTTTCTCAACTCGAAGTCAGGTAATCATTACTGCTTGGTGTGCAGGAGGGGGGGGGGGGGGGAAATCAAGTGTTGGCCTAACAAGGGGGGCGAAAAAAATTCGTAACCGAACGGAGGCTCGAACCCGGACTTTCTGCTTCGGAGACCAGCGCACTTACCGTTCCGCCACCGCACCCTCACAAAGTAGGTGTGGTCATTTGTACAATAGACAGAGTTGGTTAGAGACATACTTGTGTCGCATAATGATGAACTCAGGCGTCGGTCCAAATAAGGAAGTCGAAGAAACTGATAGATGGGTATTAGGTTTGTTTCACTCAAACCGAAGATAAATGAACTAGCTCCAAGATGCTATAAAGTAAATTCATATGTCCGAAAAATTATGAGAGCTTGATTTCATCCGGTAGCAACACAATAATGCTGCAAATTCATAGCAATAGTATGTCTTGTTAACTGGCTTCAACCCCCCCTCCCCACCCCCTCCTATACTGTCGTGTCTGTATTCACTCCTCTATCCCCTTCCACTCTATCCTCATCTTTGGATTTGTCTTTCCCTTTCTCATCCTCTCTCTCTCTTCTCTCTCTTGTTTTCCTCTCTCTCTCCCTCTCTCCCCCACCTCTCTCTCTCTCTCTCTCTCTCTCTCTCTCTCTCTCTCTCTCTCTTTCTCTCTCTCTCTCTAATACCACCTACCAAGAAAACCTTTAAAGGAAAACTCTTTGCTCGGCTCTTGTGGCCTATTCTTCACCACAAAACTGCTACGTCGAGCTTCCTCCTGCTTGAAGTCTGTAACCTTCTTTAACTCCTCTTCCTTCTCCTTCTCCCCAGCAAAGGACTCATCGCTATGTTGGATTACTTTAACTTCCATATCTTTTGGTCTTGGTTTTATGACGTGCTTTGGCATCAGCATGACTGGGATAGCCAGGAACACGCACAGGATGCCAATAATGAGACAGCCTAGCCACCAGGCGCCGATGAATCGAGGGTCGCTTGTCGACATGTCTGTAGCTGCATGGACATAACGAAAATAATTATAATAATAATAATGTAGTAATAATAATAATAATAATAATAATAATAATAATAATAATAATAAAAATGATAATAATAACAATATTGATAGTAATAATAATAATAATAATGATAATAATAGCAATGATAATAAAACAATGATAATAACAATGGCAAGATAACCATGACAATAATAATAATAATAATAATAATAATAATAACAATAATAATAATAATAATAATAATAATAATACTACTACTAATAATAATAATAATAATAATGATGTTTGGGTTGCTTAATAAGTAGAATGTATTTCATAACGGTATGAATACTCATCCATAGTAAGTAAATTTAAAGACAGTGTATATTTTAGCTAACGGATGTTAAATCAAAGTCACTTGTAAAGTTTTGCATATAGAAACATCAATAAGCGAGGCGTGCTGACAAACTGAGTTATTTATCAAAATCCTAGAATGGAGATATCAGCCGAAAATCGACACTGTGGTCAGATTT